AAAAAATTGGAATATGATCAAATATGATCAGGCTGGTGCATAGATCAGTGCCACACACTAGATTTGGGGCGTATTTTGGTCTGTTAGAAGAAAGTGCCTCCCAAAATTTTAAAGAAAGAAAAACTTATTTATGTACAAAAATAAGGGTTAATATGATGAAGGGATGGAATATGACTGTAAAGATGAAAACTATAAAAGATTTTAGAAAAGGAATTGATAAGAAGTTGGTTGAAAAAAGAAAGAAGAGGATTTAAAAAAAAAAGGGAGAGAATGTGATCAGGCAGGAGACTAGAACAAAGACATACACTAGAGATTTAGGGTATATTTTGGTCTGTTAAAAGAAACTGTACCCTAAAATTTTAAAGAGAGAACAACTTATATATATATACCAAAAATAAGAGTAACTTCTATGAAGGGATAAAAATGAAAAATAAAAAATATTTTTTTATAAAAGAGATTGATAAAATGTTGGTTGAAAAAGGGAAAAAGAAAAATTCCAAAAAAAAAAAAGAAAGAAAGTTAAAAAAATAATTAACTTTGAAAGACTAAAGTATCATGGGAAAAAAGCCATGAATTCTTTGTGCAGTATTCTCCTAGCACTGGAATTCTGCCATTCTCATTGATGGGTAAACTTGGTCTTGGCTGGCTGTTCTTGCTGATCTTCTGGGGGAGGGGCCTGTTGCCATGGTTCCCAAATGTCTTTGCTGGAGGCGGAATTGCTCTGCCCTTGCCAGTCTGGGCTAAGTAATCTGCTCAGGTTTGCTCTGGGGAGCTTTTGTTCCCTGCAAGCTTTCCATAGAGCTTTGAAGGATGAGAGTGAAATGGTGGCCTCCCAATCTCTGCCCCGGAGGAGCCGAGAACTCGGGGCCCCACTCCTCAGTGCACCCCCAGGGAAAAGCAGTCAATTACTCCCATTTCCCCCATCCCCGGCCACACTCCGTGCTCACCCGGCCTGTGACCGAGTGTTTCTATCTCTGGCACTGGACCCCGTGTGGAGTCTCCAAACCCAGCAGATCCCTGCAGTGCGTTTCCGCGCCACTCCTCCTGGGGGTGGAAGATGAGTCTCCCCGACCTGCCACCTGTTGGGTCCCTGCTGGCGGAGCAGTGGCCTGACTGTGCCGCGGATCACGGTTTATGGCAACCCCAAGCTGAGAGCCTGCTCCTCGGATCCGTCTCTGCAGCCGGCTTCCCCACTCTGGTACCTGGGAGCTCTGCTGCATTCAGGAACTCCTGGTTTTTCTGTGACCCCAAGGGTCCTGAGACCACACTGTCCCGCGAGGGTTCCACCCCCTCCCCCCACCGCTTAGCTACTGGAGCAATGTCCCTTAGTGGAGCCGACTTCTAAAAGTTCTGATTTTGTGCTCTGCTGCTCTATCACTTGCCAGAAGCGGCGGACGGAGGCCCCCTCCCCCGCCGTCTGTCCTCCCCAGTATCACCTCGGATTCACTTCTCCACACGTCCTACCTCCCAGAAATGTGTCACTTTTCTGTTCAGAGAGTTGTTGCTATTGTTTTCTTCAATCTCCTGTTGAGTTTGCAGGTGTTTAGAATGGTTTGATCCCTATCCAGCTGAATTCCTGGGACCAGACGAAATCTAGGTCTCCTACTCCTCTGCTATCTTGCTCCTCCCCCCCCTTAATTATATATTTTTAATGATATTTTACCTATGTCTGCTATTTTCTCTATTAGAATATGAGTTATATAGTGCTTACTTCTGTCATTTTGCACACAGAAGATACATCGGATTTGTTTGATACCTATTTTAAGTTTGTAAGACAGAAGTTTAGGAAGAATATGACAGCCGCAAATAAAATAAAATTCTTACCAAAAGCAAAGAGGCAGTTACACACAAGGGCATTTTACCATTTTCCCTGCTGTTAAAAGATGTACATGTTTTCTTTTTAAAAGAATACCTGTTATCTGCACAATGGTAACTATTCCCAAAGAAATCACTATGTGAATGTTGTACATCTTTGCAGATCATTAATGCTGCACTTGCTTTGGCGGCAAGACCCAAAAGTCAAGTGGTCAAAAAAACCATGGAAATGTACAAGCACACGTGGGAGAATCATATCCATGTCCTCACCGAAGCTGTAGATGACATTACAAGCATTGATGACTTCCTTGCTGTATCTGGTATGTTTTGAATCTTTTAATTTATACATTTGCCCTTGTCAATTTTCTGGAACAGGATAATTCTGAATATAATTAATTTTATGCAATATAATGAGATTCTTGTTAATGATCATCTTTCTCGAAGCAAAGTACTGCTATGTGTGATCTACTCTAGGATAATGAGCTTCATGCCTTGTAATCCTTACAACTCAACAATTTACACTGTGTCTCTAAAAGAAATGCCTATTCATAGACAAAGCATAATTGAAAATAGTACTGGAAATCTTAGGCATTTTCTGGCTTTTTGAATAAATTATCATCTCCCCCTTTAATATATTTCTATCTTTTGATTTCTCTGCACTTCTTTTCTAACATAATTTTTCTTCACTAAAAAATTTAGATAGATAGACAGAGAGGAAAACTCTTCATTGATTTGAAGTACAATATGTACTTCAGCTTCCAGTATATGTATTTGAATAACAGTGATCTAAATAATCAAATAAATGAGTCTAAACAGCTTACTATGTCAGTTACAGATGGGCTTGAGATTTCATGTTAAACCTAGATGATTCTTTTATCACATAACAGAATAGCATACCATATGATTATGAAATTACTCTAATAAAACCATACTCTCAGAAGCATAACTCAGGTTTTGATTATATTGTTATAACAACAAAGAACTAAATACTTCTTAATCTTTTTTTATTTTCTTAGAAAAATTAAGCCTCTCCTTAAAATAAATTACATTTTGGGGGCACCTGGCCAGCTCAGTCAGAAGAGCATGCGACTCTTGATCTCAGGGTCCTGAGTTTGAGCCCCATGTTGGGTGTAGAGATTATTTAAATAAAAAACTTTTTTTAAAATAAAATAGATTACATCTTTTTCCTTTTTTTTTTTAAAGAGACTGGAATATGATATTATTTTTTATAAAATGAATATTCTCATGAATTTCTAAAATCATTTTATCTTTTAAAAGTTTCCTGATGTAGTTTGTTTAACCTGTGGAACTCATTACTTTCATGCATGTATATGTTCTCATCTTGAATGATAGTTCTGGAAACCTGGTGTATTTTCATGATACATTAATGAAAGAAATGTATGGTAATTATTTAATAAATTGTTTTATTTCTGCAGAGCTGAAAACTTTGAAAATAATAGAAAATGTATGGGTGAAAATATTAACATCCCTTGATCCCACTATTCAGAAATAACAACCATTGGTATCTGATTTATTTCCATCCAAATATATATATATATATATTTATATATATAAATATATATGTATAAATTTATGTTTTTAAATAATTGTGTCATGAGGCATATAATAAATATTTGGCTGAATTTTCCCACATCATTATACATTTTTCAAAAAAAGCTGTTTTTCTTAGCATTTAGATAAATTGCAATTTTAACTATTATAAACAATGCTATGTTAAGCATATTTTTGTCTTCTTTGCTGTCTTCTTAGTATAGATTTTGTGTGTATGTGTGTCCAATCAACATCTTATATAGGGGCAATCTTTGGTTTAATTATTAAATGCTAGATTCTGTTTTTTAATTGGTTCTTTTGGTTATAAAACAAAGAAACCTGCTCACACTACCCTCTGTAAAGGCAGTTTATTATAGGTATACTAATGACACAATAGGGAGAAGCTCCTGGACCCAAAAAAGCAAGAACTGTAATTGGCCTGTCCTTGCCTGATTAGAGCTGTGGGAGCCCTGAGATCTGAGCAAGTCCATAGGTCCTGAGAACAGGAGCTCATGCTTTTTCTTTTCAGTGCTGGATTAACCTGACCCCCCAACCTTCTGAGTCTGCTACTTTCTGTGAACAGCTTTAGCACTTCAGCATGCTTTTCCTACACATAAGAGAAAACTCATATGGAAGTTCCCTAAGTAACAAATAAACAAAAACAACAAAAATTCTGTTAGAAAAGAAGTGCAGAGAAATCAAAAGATATAAATATTTATATACATGAGGGAAGGTACCTCATGTAACTAGATGTTTAAGATAGTTGATTCTAAACTTACTCGCCTAAGCATACTGAAGGACTTAGATAGGAATAGTCAAGACATATGAGGAATAGTATTTTATCACTAACGTTGTTTAGAATTGTCAGTACAGGATAATAATTGAAAAGTGGATTAATATTTAATGTGTTTCATTTCTGTTTTAAAATTCTCTACAGATAATGCACTCCATTAGTTTCTATACCCAGGGTGGATTGTTTCTACTTTCCTGCCCTTTGGATGTTCTAGCTGGTAGTGCTCTGAGGTTATTAATAACCTCTTTAGACATCTCTGGATTCTGTTGACCTTCCCTCATGGTTGCGTCTCAGAGCTTACATCTCAAGCATCGTACAATACCACCTAAAGCAGGAAGGCAAGGTAGCTTGTTGGCTTCAAGTTATCAAGTGGAAATCTTTCCTGGGTGACTTCCATCAGACTTTCTCTTATGTGTCATAGGTCAAAACTTGTTCCTGTACCTACACCTGAACCAACTGCTGGCAAAAGGAAATGGGATTTCTATGATAGGCTTAGAATGGTGACAAATGATTAATAACTGACTGGGGGCCAGAGGAAATGGTAGTCCTTATTTGTAGCACTTCCTGATTTCTGTGCCATAAATACTGCCACATAAGCAGGTTTTAAGCTACCAATGTGATGTCACTGAAGAGATGCAAAAAAACAAGTCTTGTGAGTTGGTATAACAGATTCTAGCAGACTACTGGGCTTAGACCAGTCGTAATTCAACCTCTCTGACTAATTACTTACAATGCAAACAAAATCAGAGGTTTTATGAGCAGAAAAGAAGGGAAATTAGCTGTTGACTAGAGACAAAATATGTCTACCCCAGGCACTCCTTTCTCAGGTTTCTGTGCTTTCATAAACTTGTCTTGTTTAGTTTAGCATGAGCCCCATTGATGATTCTCATTATATCATAACTTTCTCTTTTTTTTTTTAAAGATTTTATTTATTTATTTGACAGAGAGAGACACAGTGAGAGAGGGAACACAAGCAGGGGGAGTGGGAGAGGGAGAAGCAGGCTCCCCGTGGAGCAGGGAGTCTGATGTGGGACTCGATCCCAGGACCCTGGGATCATGACCTGAGCCGAAGGCAGTCGCTTAACCGACTGAGCCACCCAGGTGCCCATTACATCATAACTTTCAACATCAGTTCCCAGAAATAATGGCATCTTTTCTCACAATCTTCTAGCTGGCTTTATGTATACATCTTTTTTAATACTAGGCTAGAAGTCCTAAGTCCAAGATCACAGGCCAACCAATGGGTGGGGTACTTTATTTCAGATAGCTAATCATGCTTCACAGAGCAGTGATGGTGGCTGTCACAGCCTGGCAGCTTTTGTGTGGGGGTAGGTTGTCTTAGAAAAAGTTGCAGATGTGATTAGCAGTGAACAACTTTTCTGGTGACACTTTATAATGATCGTTCAGAAATCCTGTTTGTACTCAGAGACTGCTGGTTCCTCTGTTTGCCAGGTATAAAAACTGACAACTTAGTTCATGTTTGTGAATTACCTAGAGGATATTCTGTTTTCATGATTTTTATAAAATAATTTCATCTTTTTCTTCAGCTTTCTTTCAGTACTTGATAATAATGCTCAATTCTTTTGTTGTTGTTGTTTTCTCTTATAAGAATAAATAATAGAGGCCCTGCAAAGATTCCCACTTTTCTTCTGAGTCAGTTGTGAAAATTTGGGGCTTCTCCGAACATCAGCTGTCCGCATTAAAATATAAACAAAACTTAAAACCTAAAACCAGTGAGAAAGGATTCTTGGACTTTAAACTATTATTTTATTGTCATTGGCAAAGGTAGGGATCACACTGGTAAAATGTTTGCATTATAATAATGTTTTAGAGTGATTAGATCATCTAATATTGACTAACAGCTTTTGAAATAATAACAAATGTCTTTTAACTATTGCTTTTCCCAATATAGAAATATCATTGATGATTTTTAAATTGTATGTTTATATAATCAGCAAATTTTTCATGATATACAGAACTCAAAATACCAATTTTTAGAAGCCATTTTTGCATTATTTTGTTTTGTCATATACATAGAAAACTCTGAACATAAGTACAATCAGTGTTTTCTTGAAAACCATAACAGATATAGCAACTTCATCAATTTATTATATATTTAAATTTTTTATGTGTAAAAATAAAATGAAACAGTGAACCAAAACCCACCTTTAAAATCAAAGGGATGTTTCGCTAACTAAGTTCTTTGACATTTAGTTGTCCAAAAAAGGATCTTTCCAGTTTAGTGTTATTTATGTAATACTTCCAGTATCATCTTGCAATTAATTAGAAAAAAATTTTTAAATGCATAGGTCTCCAAACTTTTTGTACCATCACTGACTGTAGGACTTATCCCCACTCGATTCACTATTCTTTGTTTTTGTTTGTGTGTGGGTGTTTCTTTTTGTTGTTGTTGTTTTATCACTCTCTGAAAATACGTGTAACAGAACACTTGTCAGAGAGTTGCTGGACTGGAAGACTCTTTGACCACATCAAGGTCTGTCTTTCTTGTAGACAGAAGATGTTCCTATGTGATGAGATTTGTGAAGCTCTGTCTTTCCAGCCTGCCAAGATGCCTGAAATCCCCAATATTAGTTATCCACATGGGAAAATAAAAAGTTTAAGATCTCCATTTAAGATGCAAATTTGGGAGAGGAAACATATTAACACATGCCTCAACTTTTTGAATCATTGCCTTAATTGACTCATAGTGAATTGTAACCCCAAGGAACTAAGCTCAGAAGAAGTACACTTTGATAGAAGAGAAAATGACTTGGACCATATGAACTATTTAACAATTACTAAGAACTGACTAAATGTGAGGGTTTGTGAAGATACGAACTTTTTTTCATTTATTCATTCATTCCTTAAATATTTATTGCATAATTTGAAGTGCTAAACCCTACAAAAGTTACTTGAGGTTGAAAAAAATTTAAAAGTTAGCTGAAGAGATAACTTGCAAGAAAGCTGTGATAATGG